AGCTGTGCTGGAACTTACACCATCATGTAACCCATAAAAGAAATCTCTTATTCAAAAAATGTTTATGTGTTTGTGTTTATGTTAGTTGAAGTTTTCAATTTAGAGGAAAAAAGGCGTTAAACTTTAAATATAACCTGTGATTAGAGTAGAATGCCATTTAAACTGCTTTATAGTAATTCCAATCGATTATACTGTAACACATAAAATCACATCCAGAATAAGTATCTGAATGATTTTTGTATTTTTGACTCTATACACCATCTGATTGGTTCTGTAACTCAAGCTAGCAGGTCTAATTAAAATGCAGACTTAAATTACAGTGGGTTTAACAGCAGGATCGCATTAATCGTTTAGGAATTGGAGCTATTTTTATACATTTATACATTTTTGGTTACTTTTAAGAGACACTCAGAAGTAACTGGACAGCATTTCTCATTATTTGATGACAGTTCAAGAAAGATATATGATGATGTCTTTGGACTGTGGAAGGAAGCCAGCATAAAACAGGCAAATATATAAAGACCAAAAGTGGTCAAATTATATAAATAGCCTTCATAATTTCATATTTACTCAGCACTTTCTAGTAGTATGTAACAACACAATAAATTATGTTATTATTAAACTTATGTTTGCCTATTACGCTCATTTCCTGTGGTGCGTTTTTATTCTTTAATTTCACGGTGCAGCTCCCGAGTTTATCCAGTGTCTGAAAGATTATTGGTTGCCTCTTGCAAACAGAAGGTTTGAACAGCAGGTGGGTGGGGTTTCTGTGCTCACAGCCAGAACTGTATGCCTGAGATGACCAAACTTAGTATATCCTCCCTCACTGACATCATGCAGAACCAAAAGTGTAGGAAACTGTGTGAAACAGCATATTTCGAGCAGTCTGAAGCCTGAGCTTGTGGTTCCCAGGGTTTAAATGCACACATATAGCTCTTGCTCTCCATGTACAATGAACTGTGTACTGTCCACTGTGAAGTTTGAAAGACATGAGTAAAGCTATCGATAAAACCAGTTCCTGCTGATTAAACTTATTGAAGGTTTTATCTGTGGGTGAAAGTAACTGACCTGTAACTTTGCTGCTGCTGCTCTGGCCGCTTCCTCTCTCCACTATGTCCCGAGTGTCCAACAG